TCAGTTGGATTTAATTCGCCGATATCCACATAAAGCACGACGGCATTTACAATTTCAGGAAGTCGTTACGAGAAACTGACTCTGAAATCCCCTTTAACTGGGTTTGTTTTTATCTTTGATGTCTTGACTTGTGATTTATGCACTCTTCACAAGCAATAATGTGACTTACAGGACCTTTGACTAGTGTCTTTAACTCTACTTGGCATTTTGCTTGACACAGTTTGAGCTTGGTTTCAGGAAACGGATTAGACGTGACATGTGTGAAGGCTGTAGTTCGCCTGCATTGATGCAGGAACATCTAGTTAGTCTGTAATCCTCATGTGTCCTCATCTCAGGTGTGTGCTAGCCAAGACTTGACCATCACTTGTGTTTCTACTGCTGAGATTAATTCTGGACTTAACTCAGGCGTATCAAATCGACTGTAATGCTGCATTTTTTTAGAAACACAATGACCATCCTACCAGATCCATCAAAATAATGAATCATGCTCCACAAAATGAACTGTAAAAACTGATATCAGCCTCATAGATGAGATGGTTGTACCACTAAGATGGATTTACTCAGGCATCTCACTGCATTGGTTTTAGTTATTTGAATTTAAAGAAGTGTTCATCCAGTAATGCAAATGCAGTGATTTTATTTGTTCTCTTGGCACTATAAACCGGTATGACATTTTTCTTTCATGGAAAAATAGGTGAATGAGGATCAGATTGTAAAGCCCTTAAAGGAACCATAAAAGTAGTCCATACGACTTGAGTGCTATATTCTTAAAGGAGTAGTTCACCTTTAAAAACGTTTGCTGATAATTTACTCATCCCCATGTCATCCAAGACATCCATGTCTTTCTTTCTTCATTTGAAAAGAAATTAAGTTTTTTTGATGAAAACATTCCAGGATTTTCTCCATATAATGGACTTTACTGGTAACCAAACGTTCAAGGTCTAAAAGACCTTGAGGCTCAAAAGGCTTTAAACGATTCCAGACGATGAATAAGGGTCTTATCAAGCGAAACGATCACTTATTTCAAAAATAAATTAAAAAGTTTAAATTTTATAAGCACAAATGCTCACCTTGCTCTGTTCTGTGATCTGCGTTCGTGACTCTCCTGTTCAAACTCGTTTATCAAAATGAATGAATCTTTTTTCGAGTCATTTCGTTTTTGAAAGCCCTTTGAAGCTGCACTGAAACTCTCATTTGGACCTTGAACCGTTTGGCTCCTAATGAAGTCCATTATATGGAGAAAAATCCTGGAATGTTTTCATCAAAAACCTTAATTTCTTTTCAACTGAAGAAAGAAAGACATGGACATCTTGGATGACCTGGGGGTGAGAAAATTATCAGCACAATTTTTTTTTTTAAAGTGAACTACTCCTTTAAGCCTCGAACATAACTCAAGTCTTCTGAAGCTGTTCATAGCTATGACAGTGTCATTGTACTAAAACAAAAACTTCAATTATTTTTGGCGATTAAAAAATAAAGCTGAATAATAAATATTAGATAAATCTTAAATGGAAACTACAAATGTTGCCTTTGCAATTTATGTTGGAGTACTAAAATTGAAATAAATTAAATGAGCTGCATGCAAGAAATTTATTTCAATTAATCATAAATTTTCCCTGATATGTCACTAGACATTAAGAAATCATGCGTCACCCTCCACCGATCTACCAATCACAGAGTCAGTAGTGTTGGGGCATTCGGGTTGCCAGCTCTTCTCTAGTTACCACAACTGCAGATACAAACGTGTCGGAATATGATAAAAAAAAAATCTAACGTTGTGAAACCCTAAAAAACTCAATATGAATCCAAAATACTTTGTTACAAAGTCCGTAATAATAATTAACAGAAAAAACTCACTGTGTAGGAGTCATCACTTGCCATTGGAAGCTTCTTGTAGCAGCCTACATTCCTGCTGGATCCTGCAGCATATCTGGCAACCTCAAGTCATTGGGGGAAGGCGGGGGATACACCCTGATTGGAAAGTGATTGCAGTACCAGTTTTGGCCACAATCTTGCATACAGCTCCTTTAAGCTAAATGGAAATATAAAAAAGCAAATAAATAAAAAATAAAAAACAAATTCCACAAACCTTGAAAATGAGAAAATAAAAAGTTAACTCAAAATCATAATTGCTTTAATGATATAAATAATACTAAAATAACTCACAGCTGCTATTAAAAGTTTTAAGATTTTCAGTGAATAATGAATTAAATTTGTCTGTTCACCACAAATCTATCACAATTTCAAAAGATTTTGGAATGTATAGCACACGCAGTCATGCGGATAAGATTTTATGGTACCTTTAATGGGATAGTTCATCCAAATATGAAAACTGTCAATCCAAACCTGTATGACACTCTTCTGTGGAACAGAGCGCTGGGGTCCAAACAACATTAGACATTTCTCAAAACATCTTCTCCTGTGCTTCATACAGGTTTGGAATGTGAACTTTGGGTAAACTATCATTCATTTGTCTCTAGGTCACTGCATGCTTTTGATTTAATGAACAAAAGATGCTAAATATCTTTTTGTTCCATGAAATGATTGAAACAACATGAGGTTGCGTAAATGATGACTGTATTGTATTTTAATTTTGTGGATAGTAAACTTTTAGATTACTTTCCGATCCAAAGATGCGTTTCGCATGTAGTTGGAGCGTTTGTTGCACCCCGAATCCCTTTAACTGTTCTAGAATCAGCTCAGAGTTCTGCAACAGATGCTTGTGGTTCTCACCATTTCCTGTAACCTGATGTCTCATGTTGTTTGCTCATCATACTGTGGTTGAACACTAGACAGAATATTAGAGTAAACAAGTCTAGAAGAGCGTTACTCTGCATGAATGAGTCTAAGATGATGTTGCATTCGGTTCAGATGTGAGCTGCAGTCGTGAAGTAGAAGCGCTTCTTCAGTGCTGACTGTCTTGTGATATTGGTTGATATCGATTGGTACCTAATCGAGTTTATTAGGTGGTTTAGAAGTGCAACACTGGGGACTCTGTATCTGTGGGAAAGATTTCTGTTTAATGATCATTAAACAATTGTATGAACTCGGTTTTTGTCTCATTATTTTTCTTTGATCTGCACTTTTAATATTTTTTTAAAGATAAAATGTATGTATGTTACCTGTATGTTATTACCATAGAAAATCATTTAACCCTTCACTTCATCAATGCACAGTGATGCAGTTTTACATCTCAAAATTATAAGATGCAAATGTGATAGTTTCCACTTGCATATTACTTGTTTTCATGACTGATTTTATTTATCTGGATTTATTTATCTTATGATTATATCCAGTGTTGCAATTGATGGAAGCATGTCCAGCTAAAAATCTAAACCGGGTTAGTTTTACCTGGCCTAGATTCCGCATGATTTAATTATTCATGTTCCCTGCAACGCCTCAATTGTACGCTTGAGTTTTCTTCTGGGAACGAACCTGGAACGAACTTAAAGGGTTAGTTCACCCAAAAATGAAAATTCTGTCAGTATTTACTCAGCCTCATGTTGTTCCAACCCCGTAAGAGCTTCGTTCATCTTCGGAACACAAATTATTTAAAATCCTCCTGGTTTTAAGTCCAAGTTAATAACTCAAACTGCCCAACACACAGTCAAGCATTGGAAAAATACATTTATTTACATAAATCAACCAGTAACTATAAATTCAGAAGCCGTATCTACAACTCAGCAATTTATACAACATACATGTTCTGTATTTGGCATTATGCTTCATCTGTACAACAGGAGACCTTATTGTGCCATGGAATTATACAGCACAATTAAATGCTGAAAAGATGGTGCGAATTTAAAATCATATTTAGGCAACAGAATAACCGTCTTGCAGTTGATGAAGATAAACACATTTTTTTGCAACTACGTCAACATTGAAGGGATAGTTCACTTTGAAATTAATTTTTGATAAGTTTTAGCTTACCTCAAGGGCACCCAAGATGTATGTCTTTTCAATTTCGACATTTTTTTGGTCAAACCGTTGTTGTCTGTCAGTCATATATTTCAGGTCTATGGAGCCCACCTCAAAGAGCATGCACAGAGAAGTCAAAATAAAACATGATTTAATGACTCGTGAATGTAAGTAGCCTACACATTGATGGCCTAAGACACTAAACGAGTGGTTTGTGTGAGAAAACAGTATTTATATAGTTTTTACCTCTTGTTAACAGCCGTCGAACTGATCTGAATCAGATGTCCAACTGAACGGTGACGCCGGAAGTGGAAGTGATCGCGTGCGTATGTACGTCACGCATTGTATTTCGGAAGTTTTACCTTTCACTAAACATATTTAGATATATCGAAATCGTCTTCCATTGCGATTTCCCGTTTATCTAAATATGTTTAGTGAAAGCTAAAACTTCCGAAATCTACGTGTAAACAATGCGTGACATACATACATACGCACGCAATCACTTCCGGCGTGACGTTGGAGACCGTTCAGTTCAGTTGGACTGATTCAGATCAGTTCGACGGCTGTTAAAAAGAGGTAAAAAAATATATAGACCATTTCACAAGATGTAAACAACACTGGTCCAGAAGCACTTCCTGTTTCAGTTTGTAACTGTTTTCTTTATTTCACATGTAAAGAAAACATCTTAAAGATGTTTGTTTAACTTTTTGATTCAGTTTTAAATGTTCTGTTGGTTGTATTTTATCCCAGCTTTTATGTAGTGTTAAAAAACTGAAACAGGAAGTGCTTCTGGACCAGTGTTGTTTACATCTTGTGAAATGGTCTATAAATACTGTTCGTTTGCTCACACAAACCGCTCTTTTCGTGTATTAGGCCATTACTACACTGTATTTATATACTATTTTCTCCCCGATTAGCTTCTTGAATAAGAAGTCATCAAACACAACGATTCAGAAAAAATGGCTTGTTCACCAAATGCACTTGTCCATCTCGACCATGTGACCTTTAAGACCCACATATTGTCGTGGTGTAACAAAAAGGCCACTATTACTCTTAAAAGTTCACTGTTCTACCAGAGGCCATTTATCTATTATGAAACAGGTTTATTAACAGCAGTTATGAGGCATCCGGTTACCATGTTTTAATAGAGTAATCGATCAGCGACCAAACACTCAGACTGGATTCTTAGTTTCTACAAGGCTCTTAACACACTAAATCAAATTACCACATGATTTCTGAATTATAAAAGTGACTCCCTGAAACTCAGACATCAACACTACAAAGATGGAAAATAAAGATGATCGGCCGATCAAATTATGTGAAGGCAGGCAACACGATGAATATCACAAAAGCTGTCAGGATCATATTTCCCCCCATAATCAGCATAAAACTGTTTCAAAAAGCCTATTGTTAGGATTTTTTGATTTGTGAAATATTTGTAAAGCATAATTTTAAGTATATTTTATAGCCTAGTAGTATATGATACATACTAAATCTAATTCATATTGAAACAAAAAGCAAAATATATTTTATTTTTGGGTGAAATGGGTACATTTCTTTGAGTAGTTTATCTGAGAAGAACCACCACACAATAAAGGTTATTTTATTAGCTCATTATGAACTGCTTTAGATATTTATGTTTACCTCTATTGTTTAATATTCCATTTGTTAGGCTAATTAATGGAGGACGAACCAGCAAAAGTAATTTTATGTTGTTGCAAAGCTTCAGAAAGATGTGGATTCACCCAAACATTTCTAATTCAATATAAAACAATCACTTATTAATATAAAACGTTCTTCCAATATTTATTTTTCCTCAATCTCTTTCTTAAAAGGTCAAAGCCCATAAAATAAGTAACACACGACTCCTCGGCCTGATTATGTCGACTGAAATAAAGCTGATTCACTGTTCAAACTCCAAACAGAAGAGTCACATTCACAGGGAAAAGAAAACCAAATCCAGCGTCTGGAAAACATGTCCAGTAGTGTGGCGGCGCGGTAGTGTCTCTTAAAGCATGGCGGTGGATTGAATCGGTTGATGAGCTCAGGCCTCTTCCAGCTCGGGGAAATTAAGGATCTTGCGATGAGCCTGCCGGAGATACTGCTGCTGCTTGAAATAGACCTTAAACGCCCCTTTAATAGCCACAAATGCAATGCCACCCTGAGAGACAGAGAGATAAAGGTCATCAGTATGAGGGTACATGTGCACATATCATAGACTTGGGGCCAGATTTACCAACAGCTCATGCAAACCTCTTGTGGCGTAAAAAAAACTACAGTCAGGATTTACAAAAGACACGCAGTGAAACATTAGCGCTGAAAAGGCGAGGACAGGGTTATTTATGTGGCTGCATTTGAAGGAGTTTCCCGTTCAGATGCAGAGTTTATGGGAGGAGAGTATTTCAATGAATCATGCAAAATGATTTACTTTTTTTTTTACAGGTTAACTAACATCACACTCCCATCAGTGCTGTTTTTGGAATTGCGCTCTCATGCTAATCTGCCCTGTTTAGTAAATCTGGCCCCTAGTTTTCCACCATATTTCTCATACCAGAATGGTCCTCTGAAGATTTGAGTTGACGCTGCTGAACATCAGTTTACCCACGATGGTGGCGATGGTGGGGAACACGAGGGCTCCGCACAGGATCCGTGTGGCTGACACGTGATCGGCCAGCGGACTGGCCTCTGCCGGGATCCTGGGCACTGGGCAGCCGATACCTGAGCATGACACATGGGTAAACAGGGCCTAAAACTGACTAAAACATAAAGCTTGCCACAAAGCTAAAACTACTAGCCTAACTATTATAAATGAAAAACAATAATAGAGATCAGTTACAGTAGTTTTCAGGTAGAGACGTAATCAAATGTAAAATGACCGAATGGGCTTCAGTGTATAAATTGTTTAACCCTCATTGAAGTTACAAAAGTTATTCAGTCAAGAGCATTGAGTGATTTTGTCTTTTGTTGTTTGACTAAAATTGCAAACATAGATATTAGGCTGCTGTCACTTTAAGACTAATGCGCTGGTCCAATATTGATACTGACACAAATGCGTTGTCTTTATCTACTATTTACGTTCACTTAAGCCATATGTTTACTAAGATACTAGTAAAGTATACCGAGAGGAGGATTTTGACAAAATGTTGTGTGAATTTGCCCATTGAAGCGCAAGAGGACAAGAATGAGAATTCAATTCATTATGTGTCTGCACAAAACTTTGTGCAGACACACAGGGTGAATTGAGTTCCCTTTCGCGTCTTCTTGTGCTTGAATATTTAAATTGGCAAAGCTCAAACTTTCGAGACAATGTTGCGCTGGTCTTGAGCTGTTCATGTTTGTTCACGAACATGTTCTCATAACATTATATTGTTAGAATTCATAAAACAATGTCAACTGCCAACTGGTGATTGTCACCGTTTTATATACTCCGATTTTTACTTTTCATCAGCTAGTTTAGTTTTTCATTGTGTCGTTTTAAAATTATACTGACAGTTTAAACTGGTTTCAAATATTGCATTTTGAATTAATATTGTGAAAAATAAGTGATCATTTACACTTCATTTGCAATCAATACATTTTGTATTAGTGTTAAAAATTCACATTTTCATTAAGACGATAGAATTGTTTATATTTGTTTCTGTTGGTAGAAAAAAAAATGGCAGAAAGATGTAGATAGAAATCACAGGTCATGATAAATTAGGAAATGTCTATAAACTAACACTAAACACTGAATACCTATTCAAAATATTAAACCATATATATTTAATTAATATAATAAATATAATTATTAAATATTAAACATAATAATTGCATTCAAAATACATGCATGTGGACATTTATAAATATAAAGAATGTCTAAAATTATGTAATAGGCACAGATTATATCATTTTGTATTATTATAGTTTTTATTCATATTTAGAATTATTTTTTATTTTTGTCATTTTAGATTTCACTTTAATTTTAGTTTAATTTGTTATATTTTTATGCGCTTTTGTCTTTTTTCATTATCATTATTTAGATTTTATTTACCTTTATTTCAGTTTTAGTTTATTTCCATTAACTAAACAAAAATTGTAATAAATGTTGCCTTAACTAACTGAAATAAGATCTAATATTTTAACAAAAATGTTTTCATAGGTTCAGTTAAAGATAACAACCCTAGTCACCACTGACCTGGAAAGATACTGTTGAGGATCTGAAGCTTATTGGAGTATTTCCTCCAGATGCGGAGCACGTAATCTTCCCAGCGAATCATCTTCCCCAGAATAAGCATAACCGGGATGGTGGGCAGGCCGATCAACAAGAAGAGAGGATCGGCCCGTTCCATCACATCCAGACCTTCCTTATGACCCACAACCTGAGAGAAGAACACAGACAGATTGTTACGAGTCAAATAATGCTTGTGAAACCCGTTGAGCTGCGAGTGACGTCTCACCTGCATGACAGTCACAGCCCCGTACGTGACGGCCGTCCAGTAGATGGATCCCACCATGATTCCAGCAGCAGCAAACGGGCAGGCCTTCGAGATCAACCGGTCTGCCAGATCCAGCACATACACCACCGGCCCTGGACACAGACAAATGTACTGCCTTCATTTTTAAGTACAATCAACTTGGATGTTGAAGTCATTTCAACTTAAAATTAAACTGAATGAATCTTGTATAACATTTTTGAAAACTTAAAGCAATGTAAAAACATGTTGTTATAACTTATTATTGATCAAATAATTGTTTTTAACACGCTCTTTTAAAGGCTATGATGATGATGAATCCAGAATTGAAAGGAAGAGTGACTCTGGTTTGCATCTCTCCAGCAGAGGGCAGAAGGTGCTATTCGCATTCGGATGTGAAACATGGTGTTGGAAATCACTGTGTCAAGATTATTCAACCAAAATTGATAGGAGTGATAAATCACTTTATCGTTTGTTCCATGTGTGACCAATGATGATTAAATCTTACATGACTCATGAATAAAGTTTTACAACCACTGCAAAGCACACAAGTCTCAATGACCTATGCTTTATGAAACGGTCCTAAAAAGGAATGAGGAAATGCTCAAAGTGGAAATGAAATCATGTAATATTTACTGACCTACAACCTGCTTTCCTCTCAACCTAAAAATACCCTCCACTGCAGGAGATGTCTAGGACGACTCTCTGGAGACTGAAGAGGGCATTCATTTCCTCATTTCTCTGCTGAATCATGACTGGAGTTTCATTTCCACTTCCCATTTATATTACACAGAGCTTTTTAATCCAGCGCTGTACCTGAAACCACAGCTCTACCAACTAAAGAACTTAAAAGAAAGAGTTTAACATTAAACAACGATAGTTCAGATTTTACCCGAAAAAATGAAAAGAAAATACATTTCTTTTTGTATCGAGAAAATTGAGAATGTATATTTTTGTATTTTATTATTTGCTGCCTGATTTTTTTTATAAATTTTATAATTTTACTACCTGAATTGCAGTAAAAATACTAAAAACTTATTTTAGTTAGTATGATACAGATTTATCATATATATATATATATATATATATAGACACACACACACACACACACAAATTAATACTATTAGTATGATAAATCTGTCATTTTGTATATTTTATGTCATAACATACATAATATATACATAACATAAATTATATATAATATATATACATAATTATATATATATATATATATATATATATATATATATATATACACACACCCAAAATAATACTATTACTCTATATATAGTAAATATATATATATATATACACACACACACACACACACACATATATACATGCATTTATGCATACATACATACATACATACATACATACATATATATATATATATATATACATGTATATAGTATATGTATATAAATATATAATGACACAATATATATAAATGACAGATTTATCATACTAATAGTAATAAAGATAGCCCTGATATATATATATATATATATATATATCTCAGAGCAATCTTTATTAAACTAAGTGAACAACAATTAAACTATGAAGAAATATTATTTTATCTCATATTCAGGCCTGAGAAAACTTATGGGCTGATTGTCTTTAGTACAAAACCAAAGAACAAACAACTCCTAAACAAATTCGTCATCCGACCAAAAAGTTCCTGTAAAGGTTGTGAGAAGTTTCTATGTGTAAATTAGCCTTCAGCGCATATTAATTCAGCTCTCAAATGCAGAGCAGACACTTTCTGGTGTGTGTGTTTGTGCATTGAGATCACTGACCCCTCTCAAGATTATGAATATGGAATATTCTGATGACAGCGCCGGAATCCAGTTGACTTTCTCTCTGGGACTGCAGTCAGAACCTAATGGCTACTGGCAGCAGGAAACATTCAGGCATTTTCTGCTGCCGGCCACAGATTCCGTTATTAAGATCATTAAAAATAAACTCCACTTAGCAGGAATACATCTGCAGTCGATTCTCCCTCGTTTCACACCAGCTGAGCACCTGCCAAAAGACTGCTGAGGAACAAGGACTTTCTGTTCCCAACAAACCCTCTCCAACGCCAAGCTGCGTAAAACAACTTCAATGTGATGTCATCTCAAGCTGTACAGGTCTGAAGAACATCTTGAAAGTTAATCAGGAGTATTACATTTGAAAAAGACAGATGTTCTTTCATCATCTTCGGATCTGCCACTTTGCTTAAAAAAGCAATTGCATAGCACACCATTTAATACCCATCTCTATTTCAGACTCCGTTTCAAACCATAGAGACCTACCTAGGGAGCATTTAAAGGCATCGTATAAATAATATCATGTCAAATATCTGCTAAATTATGCAGCCTTTTAATATTAAGATTGAATCATTTAGGCCGAATTCAGAGAACATACTTCAATTACTTCCTATATAACTGATTCCACATAGGGAAAAGGAAATCAATTGAAATGTAAATCACTTGGAGGTCTGAATCTGAAATAACTCTATGGGTTCAATAGAGTAAAGCATCCACCAAGACATCACACATCAAATATAAAATGAACATGGAACATGAACACGATGTGTCCTGTTGAAGGAATGCGAGCGTGTGTGAAGAACTGCACTGCAGTGTAGTGTTATGCAGGTAATGTGTGAAGCAATTTCCCGTCAGCCTGATGTGAAAAGACGTCCTTGTCAATGTCAACTGAATGTGCCTCATCAGGATTTTCATCTGTTACCAACAGTACAAGAAGACCTTATGAAAAACATTCCTCATGTCAGAATCAGCACAATCTTGATTCGAAATCTCTAGTCCACGGGTGTCCACTGGGAGTCGTGAGAGTTTGGCTCACCAAGGCTGCATTTATTTGAATGGAAATACAGTAGCAACTGAAGCAATTTTAAGTTACGGTTTTCTATTTTAAAATCGGATCTATTCCTGTGATGGCAAAGCTGATTTTGCAGCATCATTGCTCCATAGTCTTCAGTGTCACATGATCCTTCAGAAAGGGTTGGGATGCTGCCTATGTAGACTGTGAGGCAGTTCACTAGGCTCTAGAACTGAACAAGCAGTAACATCAAGATCAATTTATAAATTCATTCATGAATCGGACTTCACTGTTCACACAGCATATCGACCCGTTTCAAGTCTTTCTCGGACAATTCAGAACGCAAGCTCACAAAGAACCTAAAATATTGCCATTGAGAAACCCTCACTAGTTTCTCAAGTTTGAAAGTTGAACGGGGAGCATGATTGAAGCAATTTCACAGCTGGCCACGGTAACCCTGACAACCGTATCCCAGAATAACCCCCTTGCTGTGGAAAGAGACAGAAAGCGAGAGAGGACGACAGACTGGCCCTCAGGAGATGCAGTCTGAGGAAGATTATTAGCACACCGTGAAGAGAAACTAATGCTGTTAAACTCTAACCTGATCAATTACGTAAGCGATGAAACACAAGAGGATGAAAAATGACATTTCATTTCATGAGCAGCAGATTAGTGGAATCACAAGCAAAGCCTCATCACCAATATCAAAAGAGGGATTTCTCTGGATTCAAGATTGACCTACTAAGAGTAAAAAAAACATGCAACTATTCATAACCACTGCAGTGACATTTGAGGAAGTTTGATAAAGTCTATGAAAGCGAAAGCATGTCACAAATGTCTAGAATTCAGCTTGTAATGTGTGGTATGTAAAAGTGAACGGTGTATTTTATTCCCAGCAAATCAGGAGACGATGTATTTAATATATTCACTTTCAACTTGGCCATTAAAGGTAGAGTAGGCAATTTCGGAGAAGCTAGCAATAGCAAGCTAGCTTTGAAAGCCTGAGATCCCACCCTCCCTTCAAAGCGTTTTTAATGCCATACCACCTTCGAAACACAAGAAACGCACACAACCAGAGCTGACTTGCACCACCTGACTGCTGCAGATTGATTTCAGCGTTGAAAGTGTAGACAGAAAAGGATAAATCCGCAGATTGTCACGGGTTGCCATCTCGTGATTACGGTTGCAGTGTGGCGTGAACGCAGCAAAAGCTTTTTGTTTTAGTTCAGGAGGAACTGTTAACGTGGCTGCATTTTGTGGCGCTCGGTGACTGTCTGTCTACTACTCTAGCCTCACTGAACGTGCTGAAAAAATGTATCACAGTTTCTACCAAAATATTAAGCAGCACTTATTTCAAAGTTGATAAATAATAAATGTTTCTTGAGCATCATCAAACGTAATCGCAAAAAAACAACAGGTTTCCTGAACATATAATGTTCAGGAAACGGAAACCTGTTTTTTTGCAATTACGTTTGATGACACTTGTTAAACGTGTTAAAGATTAAATATTTGAATTCTGAGTTGTATATTAAAGGGATACTCATACTTTTTTTGGAAATAGGCTCATTTTACAACTCCCCCAGAGTTAAACAGTTGGGTTTTCCATTTTAGAATGGATAGGATACTGAAGTCAATGGGACCAGAAACTGTCTGGTTACTGATATTCTTCTAAATATCAGAAAATCGACTGAATGCATTCGAAAAATAGTAAAACTCAACTCTTTAACTCTGAGGGAGTTGTAAAATGAGCCTATTTCCAAATAAAAGTGGAGTATCACTGATAAACACTGGTACCAGATCAGTTTTTAAGAGCTGACTGACACTTCAGCATTGAAGAGCTGTCATACCAAGCTTAGGGAACACGATAAGGTACTCAGCATTGCATTGTGGGCAGGCGACACGTGCGGTGCTGTTTCCCCTCTGCTTCTCATCAACCCAGCGCTGAAGACACGATTGATGAACCCACTTAGTGGAACCACGACAGCGGCACGGGCGCACCCACTCCGCAGTCCGATCATCCTCATCTGTGGCAAAACACACCCAGCAACTCCTGCAAAACACACGGAAAAATAGAGAGAGAGACATCAGCACTTGGCTTGCTATGCGTTCCTACAATGATTCAGGGTAAAAGTATAGAAACAGAAAGGTGAGGAGAAAGTTTGTCATGTTATTGTGTGAAGTTCAAGGGAGTTATTTTTATAGTTCAACTCTTAAAGCATCAAGGGAAAAAACACACAGAGTAAAATGGGTCAGTGACTAAGCACAAATGAAACCAGATTCACCAACCGAACATTTCCAAACCAGTGTGTTCAAGATAAACTAGTTTTATTCACAAGGGTTTTATCGAATTAATTACATAATATGCCAATAAATTACTCAAATTATCCCAATTGCATGGACAATTCCAAATGACTGTTTTTGCTGAGAAAGGCTTGCAAATAAAGACAATTTAAAAACAATTAAGATCATCTCATTTAATTTTTAGATTATTGCAGCAAATCCCTGAATACACTCTTAGAAGGCTTCTGTCAGGCGCTTCACACACAAAACCTTTTAGGTGCTCCCATCATGGGATCATTTCATGTATTTAGTCTTAATCGATTCAGTTATCCCTAGAATGTTTTTTAAATAGCCTATTAAACATGAAAGCATTAAGCATTTCTCACGTTTCTAGACCCATTAAACCCTTTCATCTAAAAGTGTAGATAAAAAGATGCTTTAAAAGACAATATCATTTATTTTAACGTATAGTATCATGATATTAATAATGTCAATCCTGTAAATAATCCATGTCAGTGTTTCTGCGCTGTGGGAGGAAAGACAGAGACTTTCTCTCAGGTTCCTGCACCAGATTTTCCGTTCTGTCCGTTTTTTTAATAAAACATGAGGGATGAAGAGCTGATCAGGTGACTGGGGTCATGAACCTAACCATCACATGACAATCACAGACCCAAGAAACCATTTGCAATTTCATGTACCTCTTCGTCTTTTATAAAACATGACCTGATCTCAATTTAAAATCAACAGGGAAATCTTTCTGTCCGTTACAATGAGGTTTCATTTGTTATATAATATGAACTCACAGCATTTATTAGCCAAAATCTTAATCATTATTAATGCACTGAGAACTAAAACATTAACAAAGTTCATAAATTCTGTTATACATACTGTTCATTATTAGTTAATGCCTTAACTAATGATAAAAATAACACCTTATAGTAAAGTGTTGCCAAAAACACTTTATTAAATAAAAAAAGTATTGGAATTTGTAAAACAAGCAACAGGGTGGAAGATGTGTGATATGTTTGTAATATCATTTTTTTTTTAGTTTTGCAATTCTGTTTCGTACTAGAAAATTATTTTAGATTGTGTCTAGAATGATTCTGTCCTGAAAGCAACTATCATAGATGAAGAACAAAAGACTAGAAGAAAATTAAAGAGTGAGGAAAGGAGAAGAGCGCTTCACAAAGACGATTCTCCATGTTTCTTAAGATCCTGCTTCTCCTGTTCCTGTAACCCAGCCTCCATCATGACTAACATCAGAAACACAATCATCCACGTGAAACCCAAGACATCTGGCCGTCGCCCCTCACTCAAACTGTCCCGTCAAGGTCAGACAAGCAGATTATCAGCTAATAAACCAGCTGAAACTAATTGTGCTGTGAAACAGAATCTGATTTAAGCTTGTTCGCCTTCATTCAACAGGGGTAAAGTTTCAAACTACAGGTTATTTTATCTGCAGTAAATACACACACGTATGACGTATGATAACATGATGAGATTTTTGTCTGTTTTGTGAAAGAAAAATTATATCATAATTCTTTAAACCACAAATAAATAAAGAAAATTAAATCACTAATAACCTTTTAAAATAGACAAAATATAATAAACTATTTAAATAAATTATTCATGAATATTTAAATACATTACAAAAATACATATAAACTACCATGAAATAATCAAATAAATATTAATAATATATTTTTTAATACTTAAATAAACTATAGAAAAAACAAATATATTATAAATTATATATATATATATATATATATATATATATTACAAATTTCTCCAACACATTTTTCATTAGTGTTTAACAATACGGATTTATTTTTTCTGTCTTACTCGTAAATTAATAATAAAAAATAAATACTAATAATATTTTTTAAATACACAAAAAATTAAACTATATAACTATACAAATACGTTATAAACTACTACGGAATAATTCAATAATTTTTTTTTTAAATATTCAAATGAAAAACTACTACTACTAATAAATAATAAATTATTATACATTTCTCCTACTAATTTTACATTAGAGAGGACAGGGTTTAACAATGCAGATTTAATTTGTTCTTTTCTTACTTGTAAGTTAATGATTCTCTGAATCAAAATTACTAAAAAATAGAATTGAATCATGGTGTTGTTAAAAGATTCCCAGCTCTAATAAAAAATAAATACTACATACATAAATACATATACAAAAAATAAATTATTGAAATATACTATATAACTATACAAATAAATACAGAATAATTAAACATATTTTTTAAATATTCAAATGAAAAACTACTAATAATAAAAAATAATAAATTATTAGAAATTTATCCTACTCATTTTCATTAGAGAAGATCATCTTGCCTTGTAATCCAGGGTTCAACAATAAGGCTCTGTAGTTCATATTTGTTTTCTTACTCGTAAGTTCATGATTCCCTGAATCAAAATCAAATAGAATTGAAACACGAGTCATTAAAAGTCGTTCCAAGCTCCAATATTTTGTGGCCATGCAATATAGATCATAAACCCTGTTCTTCAGTGCTGACTTATGCATTGCTCAGATCAACCACTTTTTACTACGAGAACATAAACATGCATTTATTATAACACCTTATCTCCACACGTGCAAACATGCAAACTTGAGAATAATAAGGCCAATAAAACTTTGACTTTGTCCAGCTGAAGAACTGTGATCACGTTCTGTTCACAGCTGAACACATATTACTTTTCCGCACTGTTTGCGATTATGTTTATGATGGTTAAAATACCTCCAATATACTAGACCATTTCCTGTTAAATTATGTGGATATTCCAGGAACAAATGCCGAGAAAGCAGGATTCTCGATTTTCATTATTCAGACCTAGCAGAATATCGCTCTAATGTCTATAAGATACCATCAGGAGGTCAGAAAGTCGATACCACTCACCTTTCTTTACATGTTAAGAGCCCGGTTACATGACACAGAAACACAATCTATACAACAGCGAGGGGGGTCTCTGGAACTGATAATAGTTTAAATATCCTGAACTCTAGAGCCCTAACACCAGCTACAATTTCACACAGGATGAGTTTGCTACCGTTGGCTGATGTTGAATTAAAAACTGCAATGATAAAAGGTTACATGCTTTATTTGGATTTTAGCCAGATAATGTGGAAGCAGTTTGAGGAGAAACTGATTTACCCTCTTTTGGTGTTAAAGGGGTGATGAACTGAGAAATCTAATTTTCCTTGAGCTTTTGACATCTAAGAGGCCAGCATATTATAAGTTTCAGAACTGAAAAGTCCTTGTTAGTCCAATAAAAGCTTTTATTGACACCAGCCTCAGCAAACGACTCGTTTTTCAAAGTGGGGAACTATGACGTCAAAGAGGATAAAACACCACCCCCGCAGAAGAAGATCAACGCCTACTATAACACTGCCGGTTTAGCCCCGCCCACCGATTCGCACATTACACGCATAGCAAAACTGTTATCCACTCACAGCAGTGGGCGCTTACTTCCAAGTCTTCAGTGTGAGACGCCCATAAAATCGGAGCGTTTTTCAATTGGGCTCAAAACTATGGTAGAAAATAGCCTATTACTTATTCATTTTGATGTGTTTGAATTGCAAAAACCAAGCGAACGTCATAAGTTGACCTCAGGCAACAATATAATAAAATTAAAAAAGCCAGTTCATGACCCCTTTAAATAAAATCATGCAAGGTGATTTACTAAAGTTTGCGCTCGTCAATTTACTGGCGTTTGCTCCATTATTTAACGCCCAAAAAAAAAAGCATGCTAAACCAGACGCTAACTCGCGCTGCTCTTGTTCGATTGTGTTGGTCATTATGGAAATGATCCGGCTGCTTCTGTGTTCTTTAATTTGTGTCGTCAGTAGATCACGCGGAGAACTTCACACTCTCATGCTAATCTGCCCTCCCTGTTTAGTAAATCTGGCCCTAAATGTATTAAACACTGAACAAACACTCCAATAAACCCCAAACCATATATGAGCAATAGCAAAAAGAAGGCCAACGGTGTGCTTCACAAGTGTTTCAAACCACACACTATCCTGCATGGTCTCATTGCTACACAGATCAGACTGTATTTAAAGAGGCATTAAAACCTCGGCACAATGCCTTTATTCATCGGGCCATGGTCACGTGACTGTGGGAACCCGAAAAACCTTTCAGCCAACAGCCAGCAAGAGAGAGTTCTCCATCACCGGGGAACCGACATCAGAGGAGTCTCCGAGACCCAAGCCGTCTCTACTACATAAATGGCACGATTATTACTTTTTGTCTGGCAATAAACCGTCATATTAATAACAGCATTTATCCAATGCGTTTCAATAATTACACTGAACATGGAAGCAAACACGTGACTTTTTTTCCAAATATTATTTGTCAGATAAATAACTTAAGTTTAGAGTTTTTGTTTTTTTCTCATATTTAAAATATTTTAAAATATAAAAATGTTTTCCTCATATTTTGGTGGTTTATGCAAGCTTGTGGTATTAAAACACATATACCCACCAGACATCACTTTTGGCCACTACCCTCTCTCTCTTTCTCTTAGTGTTTGTGTGTGTACCGCTGTCCTCCATTATTCAAGTCCAATAGTTTTAAACAGAATTATTATGCGATAGATTGTGACTAGTTTACAGTTGGTTTCACTAGTTGAGCACTAGCAACATTAGAGTTCATGTAATTCAGTCACTGGTTTCCAGTAACGTCGGTCATCTTGAACTTGTGGTCTATATTTGTACTTTGGGGGTCTACTGCTGATCCATAAACACACACACTCTCTCCCCTGTGGTCAGTCACAAGACCCATCCACGAGATCACGTTTCACCAGCAAAAGTATAAAGCCAGAAAAAACATGAATTCATACGCCACACAGAATTACCAGCATACTTAAAACTACATTTATATTTGACATGTTTAAAATACAATAAAAGAGTTATCCTGACAGCAATTTCCTCTTAAAAATGGGACTTTTCCAGGAGTAATACTGCAAAAATCCCAGTGCAAAACAAGAACTTACCCACACATTAAAGTCACCATGAAATCAAAATAGAAAATTCTCTTTTTTATGGAATATTGAAGTATTTAATAAACGTATCTGTGCACATCATTACTTTTTTTAATTGACGTGCGCGCGTAATCTTAAATCAAATGAACTTTCCCTCCTGCCGGCAACGACATCAATAGCAAACCACAATGATCCAGCAACACATCCAATCAATTCCCCATGGAAAAAATCAAGTCCTGCCCTACATTTGATTTTCTTGTTTGAGAAGCCGTTTCATTCAGATACGTCACAATAGGGAAGAAAAGACTCATGCTTGCGCAGACCGAAGCGTCCACGACCTCAGATCACTTGGACGTGGCTGTGGTTACAAGAGGTAAAAACAATATAAATAATGTTCGTTTTCTCCTATTTCTAGGCCAGCAATGTGTACTTACATTTACGAGTCATTAAATCATGTTTAATTTGGACTTCTCTGCGCATGCTCTTTGAGGTGGTGACCATAGACCTCCATTATATGACTGACAGACAAGAACGGTTTAACTTAAAAATATAAAAATTGGAAACAAAGACACCTACATCTTGGATACCCTTGAGGTAAGCTAAAACATACCAAAAATGTATTTCAAAGTGAACTATCCCTTTAATGCATGCACTAAAGGAGGCTGTACAGTATAACTACTAGAGCCCGACCGATAAAGGATTTTGAGGGCCGATACCGATACAAATATTTTTGGGTTTTAAAATCCGATATGCCGATATATCGGCCGATATTTATTTTTTTTTTTTATTTCAGAAAGGCGCAACAAAACATTAACAGATTTCCCTAACATTAGTTATTTGTAGTTATTTATGAGTTTTAACCAAAATAATATGATAATGCATTTTAAAAAGAAACTTTCTAAAAGTTTCTTTTATTGTCACAACAGAACAGACTGATGATAGTGGCATTAGCTAGCTTTATGGTTAGCTAGTCTATGATGAACCATAATTTAGCAATGGATAACGTCATACTGCAAATTGTAAAATATACATTTTCAATATAACTGGCCAAGGAAACTTCCGCCGGCCACAAATTTTGTCATGCTTATTTGAGTTAAGAGAACTGATGGGGACGTTCTTTTAATTGTTATTCAAGCAATGTATGTATCGTGACCAACTCAACGAGCGTTGCCAACAGGAACGGTGTAGAGTGCCCTCTGGTGGACAAACTATACAACACTCATGACATGGTTGAAGCGCGTTTCGTCCGTTTTTATTTTATTTTTGAAATATTCATTTATCGGCCATTATAACTGCCGATACCGATAGTTTGGAAAATGCCTAATATCGGCCGATAATATCGGTCTGCCGATATATCGGTCTGGCTCTAATAACTACCTCAGAGAGGACTTAATACAGCTAGGTGGAAAAAACTGTAATTTGCACTAATGTCTGTTCAAAACAAATGAACAGAAACCTAGCATTGGGGATTTGTTGCTTTTTCCTGCTTGTGTGTACTAATACATCCCCCCCATGCAAAACCACATTTAATTCAAACAGAACATAACACCAATAAGGTCCAAAAGATGCTGGATTATTTCACAGCTTTTAAAAAAAAAAGCCTGTTTTATCCATGATGATATGGAAAAACATCTGTGCAGGGAAAACAATAAGGCAGAGAAAGTGAGGTTTAAAAACAGCCAAAATAAATGGAGCCAGCTTTCCGAATACCGACGAGAACAAAAGAGGGTGATAGAGAGTCTGCCACGTAAAGGTCAGACAGGATTTAAGCATGACCCCATCTTTTCAAGTATAACCGGTGAAGAGCTGCATTGCAGAGAGAGCAGCTGCGGGTGGCAGGCCTTGATAAGACCGTGTGTGTGTGTGTGTGAATCTGATGCTGCTGAACGGCTATCTGCTTCACACAGACCTGTGAAGGTTGTTGCCTCAGTGACAGACATTAGAGAAGGATGCAGGATCCATTTGAGAGAGATGGGAGCTTTCACCATGACAACTGACACAGATATGTCTAATGTGCCAATAATCCACTTTACTAACACAAGTCCAGCACTTTCCTCTAAATATACTTTTCCTTGAAATGTAAACGGAAGTATGAGACGACGACATGTTGAAAACGCACCTTTCTACTAGCTGCATGCTCTACTGTTAAAGGAATGGGGTTACTAAGATTTGCATAGATTGGGATTAATACAGTAAAAAAAAAAATATTGTGAATTATTATTGCAATTTAAAATAACTGTTTTCAATTTGAATATATTACAAAATGTAATTTGCTCCTCTGATGGCAAAGCTGAATTTTCAGCATCATTACTCCACGTGATCCATTAGAAATCATTCTAATAAGCAGATTTTCTGCTCAGGAAACATTTATTATTTTGAATCAATGTTGAAAACAGTTGATTAATGTTTTTGTGAAAACAGTGATGCATGTTTTCTTCGATGCACAGAAGTTCAAACGAACAGCATTAATTTGAATTAGAAATCTTTTTTAACATTATTAATGTCTTTGGCACTTGTAATCAATTTAATATGGAAGCTAGTTTCCGCCACGTAATAAAAAATACATAAAAAAAGGAAATTGTTTATATCTTGCAATTCAGACTTATAACTCGCAACTCATGAAAAAAGCCAGAATTGTGAGTTTATATCTAGCAATTCTCACTTTTTTCTGATAATTAAAAAAAGAAAGAAAAAAAGAAACCAGAATGGCAAGATAAAAAGTCAAAATTACTTTTTTATTATTTTTATTCTGTGGCGGAAACAAACTTCCATAATTTAATGCGTACTTGCTGAATAAAAGTATCAATTTCTCAAAATAAAAAACTACTGACCCCAACTTTTGAATGGTAGTGCATGTGTATTCAAATATAAAAGATTCTAGCATCTTGCTGTCGAGTGGAAGGACAGATCTGCTCGAGTGTGTGTCGAATCAGCAGCATCAATTTTCTAGTTCATTTTGCAAGCGCCGGCCCTCAGGCAAACAGGACAGTCTCAGTGGAAAAACAAGGACAAGGTCAGGACACCGAACAGCTCGACTCTACGCAGTGACCCAATGCATAATTACTGAAATGAGAACTTGTCCATGTAATTTACCAAAAATGCTCCTAATTTTAGAAAATGTGCAATTATAGGGAATATACAATATGTGTGACCCATGAGGGTCAATAAAAACTAACCACAACAACAGTGTCATTATAAACTTCTCTAGGGCACACTGTCCTCCAAGCTGGGTTCATTATAAGTAAATGCATAATACTCAAGAATCAACATCCCACAAGCCATGTGGCAAAAGCTTCTTTGAGCTTTTCCAAAACCATCCAGTGTCTTGGTCAGGTGTGCAAGTCAGATTAAACAGAAATCATGCCTCATGACTTTTTTACGACTGCTTTACTATTAAATAAATATGAAATAAATAAATAGCTGTGATTGTTGATTAACTCCGAAAATAAACTCCAATCATTCTACAGATCATAAAACATACAACATTGTGAAATGTAAACTGGTAAAACCAGTAACGTTTGCAATCACATGGCACATACAAATATAACAAAAATGCTAAGCCAAGATTTACATCTATGCATAACCCGCAGTAATCCCACTGCTTAAAATGGGAATTTAATCAATTTAAAAGCTCAAATAACATACATTTGTATGCAAGACGTGATATAAGCACTTTTATACTTTATAATATGACATTACAAAATACATTTATGCCACATTCAACAGAAAACAACAGCATTTCACAGATAAAGTAACTTATTAAATAAGTAAAGTACTGCTCACATACTTACTCTTATATAAAAGCCATTCAAGAAACAACATGCTAAGCTTAGTATCTACACATAGCCCAAGACCACATTAATAATAACACAATTATCATTACGTTTTTATTATTTGTCAATTATGTCAAATATTATTTTGTCCATAATAAAAAAATATTTTAATAAATAATGTCAATAATGATATATTGTTGCTGTAAGCCTACTATAATTGTGTCAAAATTGGAAAATAAAATAAAAATCAGTTCTACATATCGTTTTCAAATATGTATATTTAGAGCAGGTGTTGGTAAACACTTATCTACAAGTAGGCTAAATAAACAAAGGAGAAGACTGAATCAAAACAAAATTAAAAGGCCAATTCAAGGTCACGCCCCCTCGCTTAAGACGTCACATCGTGTAAGCAACAGAGCATACACGCTCTAAACCGGTTAGCAATCACTCATTAGCAATTATAATTGTTCTTTAACAATATTAATAACTATATATGAGTGTATACTGACTGGCTGCATATGTAGCTAACATTAGCCGTTTGTTTACATTCTATTTCTTTCACTCACCTGTCCACAATCTGCTGAATCACAACCGCTCCCTCGTCTGCCATATTTACATGAGTCCACACACTTGAATACTGACTGAAAACTAAACTATGATAATAGTTTAATAGTTTAATAATAGAGATTTAATCGTCAGGCCGCAGTGAATCGCAACGCCGTGTTAAACACGCATATGGACACCTCACTGACATCAAGCAACAGCTGGAATCCGATTATAAACTATTTAAATGAATTATTATAAACTGATCTGTTAATGAATATTCATAGAAGTCTGTATTTCCAAAAACACGCAGTGACTCCATTGACTGCGCGTGAGAAAACGCGAGCGGACGCAACACCGCGCATGTGCGAGCGTTAACGTCACTCTCGCGAGGCTACAGATGCACTCTGGGACGTGTAGTCTTCCTTACGTGTAGCCAAAAATATAAAAATTTATGTTCTCGCAGATGCAGGCAGCCCAGAGCAAGAGGGACTACGCCTGCTGGAGCAACATGAAGATACATATTTGGCTTCAGAATACCTCGTACTGTGGTAAGAAGAGTCAGCATATTTCAGTAGGCTACAATTATTAGCCTATGCTATTTGATTTCATATTTTATTTAACATGGCAAAAAAAGAGCATCTAAAATTAATAATGTTATTTGTTAGAGCTTAATTCATTTCCCATTTCATATAGCATTTGGTTAGGAAATTATAAAATGTATGGCTGCTGGGGTGTTTTGATCCTTACTTTTTATTGAGTTCATTATTACAAATGAGACTTGATTAGACAAGCATTTTCTGTATTTCATATTAAATAATGTTTCCGCATAAAGCTGATTTTAGTTCATAAAGGCTATTTCATAAATAAATGTATATTATGGCAGGGGTGAATATGGAGCCACATAGCAGATTTGCAAGCTTCTGTTGTGTTTATTTTGAAATTACCTTGATATTGTATACATAGATTATGCCTAAAAACCTGACAATGTGAAAGGCCATGTGAATGCTTTAAACGTAGTTCTTTCATCACTTCAAGGTCATTTTGATCTAGTTTTGTTACACATGCAAACACTGTCAGTCTCACAAAAACTGGCTTGGGTTATAAAATGATCTGGCTCTGGCTTCTTTTCGTTCAATACAGCATTCTAGCCATGCTGACACAATATAATAACAGCTATGAGGCAAAACACAACGTTTTTGTTGTTTTTGTTTTTAAGCAACAAGAACAGATTGTTTTTGTTGCTTAACAACACTCTATATCAGGTATATCTCCTAAGCATAAGGGTGTTTAATTCTTCATGAATTTACTTCATAAAATAAATAAATAATATAAAATAGGAGCCATTTTAAAAGACAAACACCATGGACCATAATGTATTAAGCTGGCTGATAAATGCTGTTATTTGCATGTTAGTGTAAGCTTTGCAACGTCATGAGTTCGATGGCTGTAGTGAGCAAAAAAAACTACAATTCCCATAATCCCGCAGTGCATTAGCCATGCGCCGCAGTCAATCAGCTGTTGAGGCGACTGCAGAAGGGCAGCTCATCTGTCATACCAAAACCCAGGCGAGACAAACAGAAATAGTCTTATTTACAGAATCCCAAAAGGTGAACGACAAGGTAAAGTCTGATTCGTGTACGGCAAGAAAAAAGCAAGCAAAAGAAAAAAAAAATCAATCCGTCAAATGCATGTTATATGTTTAACATGAGTTGTGTGCGCGGATTAAAGTGTTGGATTTGATGTCTTTACCTTTCCAATAACCCGGTGCATTTTAGAAATGCATTATAATATACATGCATGTGCTGTGACGGTCTAATTCACTGTCATTTAGCTGGTCAGCGCGTGCTCTGGTGTGATGGTTTCTATTTTGACCTTGAATATGCAGCTCTAATGCAGCGAAACGAGGATTAAGGGACGGAATATTTGGCAGAAACGCTCTTCATCTTGTTACGATCGTCTATTCTGATTAAAATTTGATCAAAGGTTGAGTTCATAAATCCATCAGGCTCGCTGTATCTGTCGCATTCTCGGCCCGATTTTCATGGGAATATATTTGGCATCGTAGAAACCCTCGAGAGGTATGTTGAAATTGATGTACTTTTTCATACTGTTGAATAAAATCTATTTTCTTTCGATCCGTTTGGCTTATCAGCGTATAGCTGCAGAAATGGTAACCCTTCACGAAATAGCTATTTTACGTAAAGGGTGCCAAATAGAGATATGTCTCAGATATGTTTGTTATACAGCCAGATGAAGTGGGAAAACTTCCAGAGCTGTTATTGGGATTTCTGTTGCGTGTGTTTTGTGCAGCATGGGTGTAACCCAAGATCCTGCAGCAAATATAACCTAGTTGCTGAGCTGTGCCACGGATGGTTGTTCACCATCCAAGCAAAATGTCGAAACATACATGTTGCAAAACTGTTTGCTACATGTTTTTCCCTTTGCATTTTGTGTTTATATGTAACAAGCCTATTTATTGATTGTATAAATACACAACAAGCTTAGTCTGCATTACAAACAAGACACACAGCAATCTGCACTGCATACATTACAACAGACAAATATGCATAGCATTTCAGACACCATATGGACATTAAAAGGGATAGTTCACCCAAAAATTAAAATTCTGTTATCATAACTCACCCTCAAGTTGTTCCAAACTGTGATTATCTTTCTTGTGTTAAACGCAAAAGAAGATATTTTGAAGAATGCCGGTAAACATTTTGGTCCCCATTGACTTCTTATGGAACTCAATGGTACCCATCAATTGTTTGGTTACGCATATTATTCAAAATATCTTCTTTTGTACTTTGTGTTCAATCATACAGGATTGGTTTGGAACAAATTGAAGGTGAGTATAATGATGACATAATTTTCATTTTTGGGTGAACTGTCCCTTTAAGTAGGCTACACAACAACAAATTGTATTATCTGACACAATATGCACAAAAACTACTAAAGCACATAGGGATTCGCATCAAGTATCAGCACTTGTGTGATACATTGAACCACCAGTCATGTTTTAAATTTTAAAAATAGCACAAAAACTCTTGCACGTTAGTATTTTAGCTAAAGTCTTTGCAAATGTTGAAACTATTGAGGAGTCTTATGGCACAAGCTACACTCTTAAAATTAAACTGACAACCGAATTTCTTCGTGTATTTATGTGAATAAAACAGTTAACCTTGCTGAAGGACGCTTCTGTATTTATTGACGTATGCAAATTGAGGGGCGGGGCTTGTGAAAAGAAAAAAACAGGAACAAGAATCGGTTTCTCATTTCTGTCTGGAGTTCCGGTGAGAGAAAAACGAGACGTGGCGAAAATTGGTGAATATCGGTGACCTCCGAGCTTTTCTCCTTTAGTCGTGTCGGGACACATGAGTAGGCTAAACCAGGAGTTCAGACAGATCCCGGGTTGCTGCTGCTGATACATGGCTGATCAGGGGCTCATTAATAATAATAATCCCAGCCCGATCGGTGTGATCAATAATAACTGATCATCTGTGTTTCAGCTCAAAACATGCAGGATGATTTACTGATGGACAAAAGCAAAGCTCAGCCTTACCAGCACCAAGACCCGTCAAATACAGAGCCTCCATCCACCCCGACCCCCTCCGAGCCTCCGATCCTGGACGAGCAGAACCACGTCGGTCACTCCGAGCGGGTCGCCATGGAGTCTCCGGTATTACCGGGTCTGGGTTTCCCTCAGGAATCCTCTCTCTCACCGTCGTTCGGCAGCACCTGGTCCACAAACACGGTGGACGAGGGCTATTTCCAAGGGATTCCGTCGGTAAACGGCACGATGCTTTTTCAGAACTTTCCCCATCACGTCAACCCGGTGTTCGGGGGTAGTTTTTCTCCGCAGATGAGACGATCACCGATGAGTTTGAACCAGAGGAACCCCTACAGCCACCAGACCCTCATCAATAAAGTGTCCGCGTCGTCCGCTTCTTCGTCCGCCTGGAATAATCACCAGAACGCGGCGTGGAGCTCCGCGGCGAACCCCTGGAGCGGCAGAGACCCGCGGCAGAGAGCGCTCGGGCTGGGCGTCCCGTCTCCGCTCAACCCCATCTCCCCGACGAAGAAGCCCTTCCCGAGCAATGTCATCGCGCCTCCGAAATACCAGAGACCCGGGGCCATGCAGAAACCCTGGATGATCTCAGAGCCTCCAGAACCCTTTAGAACCGACAACAGCAACAACATGCTGCCATTTCAGGTGAGATTATTCGATAATGCATCATCATAGAAACGAAACGAATTTTTATTGACAATTTTTTTAGACATAATAATTTATAGCCTAATAGTTGCAAATGATAAATTAAAGACATATTTTCTCAAAATATTAATAACATTAAATATGTAGTCATAGGCTACTGCCTATGGCTATAATGTATCAATGGCCATAAAACAATTTATAGGCATGGGTTTATCATAATTAATTGACCTTTATAAAATTGCATTATATAGGCCTAACCATAAAACAACTTAAAGATAATACAAAACTGCGAAGTTTTTATTTATTTAAATGAATGTCGTTTAATTGTTTTTATTTATGTGTTGAAGGACTTGACTAAAGTAAATTCCCTGCGACCCGAATTTATAGCCTTCTTTTTATACTCTTTATAATTATAATTTACAGAAATACCAACAAGTCTGAGATCTCTAATACATTTCTCTGACTGTAAGGAAGAGTTGTTTTGAATTATTTTCCAGCTGTATCTATAAATGTCATTGTAAGGTGGAAGGGTTCAAATTCCCATCAGAGGCTCTCCTGCAGCTCGTTTGTGGGCGTTTAAAGGAAACACCACTCGAATCTGATTGGTGCTTGTTGAGTGAGGGGGCGGGGCCTGCGCTGTCATGAACTGAAACATTGTAGCATTTTCTCAGATAGAGGGCATTGATATATATTTTTTGAACAAAGCTTAATTCTTTAGATTTGAAGTGTTAACTGCTTCTGCTCTATTCAATACAATGTTTTTCTTTAGTCATGTACAACGTCTGACACTTAATGAACTTTAGTAAAAACTAGCTAAACTCTTCGAAATTTGTGACAAAAATACTGGGCATGAGAAGCAATTAAAGGAGCAATTTTATTTGTATTTATTTTTTTATTTTTTTATTGTTCTTTATGCATGTGAGGGTCATCTTCTGTGATCTTGGATTATTTCTTATTTCAGATATTTTAGTGAATGTTGTGTTTGTTGAGTGCACATTGTATTAGCCTTGAACACATATATCCAATCCACTCAACATTGGGCAAATGCTTATTAGCCGAACAGTGTTATTGATTTGCATTGTCACTGCATGAATTTCTTCAATGCTTACAATACCATCATTAAAACCAAATCAAGGAAGTTTGATGTTTGAGTTACAATGTAAAGTGTTTTAGACAAAGAAAAAATCGAAATAATTCAAATAATACAGGTTTAGGAAGGAACATAATGTAGTTTCTAGTTCAGTATATCCAGTATGCAAGCAAGCTGCCACAATAACAAGATGTGGCATGTGTGTGTGTAGTTGTTTAATGCTGAAATATGTGTGGCTCGTGTCTGATAGTGACTGAAGTGAGGAGCTCAGCGTTTTGATTGCTCATGCTTTTCACAAAGTGGGCAGATTTTTATCTGGAACCTGAGAGGGGAAATATCGCTTTTTGAATGCTCAGCCAGTTGCGTGACAATAGGCTCGATGTGCAAACAATGTGCTTCCCTCGGTTGGCCTCTGCCCACTGCCGTATTTATCTGCACACTTTCACTCTCTCTTTCACTTTTCCTTTATTCTCTTGCTCATTCTCTTGTACTTGTTTAATTGCATACACAGTGGACTGGCAATCTCATCTGATTTGTGTTTGACTAGCAGGGGGCAGGAGAAACATTTAGGCAGAGAGATGATGATGCAGATTAACCATCTTCTTTAGGAGTTCGAAATTCACAGCACTTCTGATAAAAAAAAAAAATAGGTAATGCTGAGTCATTTATTTCCAATGTGTTATCATATAGCCTACTGTGAATTTAAACACTTGCTACAAACTGACAGGATGCCCAGTCTGTTCACCGACCGTCTGATGAAACTGACTGCTGTCTAAACTCATTTTCGGTCGGTTTGGCTAGCTTTATACAGTCTGAATGAAGTCTCTCTGGAAAAAAAGTTGCTTTTATAACGTATAGCACTTGTGAGGAAGAATTAATCTCTTCAATTCTGTTGGATTTGATCATTTTCAAGCAAAATATACAATGAATACTCCACTATTTGTCTGTCAAATATTTTTTTTTCCACATTTTGAGAGAAAGAAATTCTGGTCACAAGTTTACACACAATTTCCTTGAATTTCTTAATTTCGTATTCATTTAATGTAATTTATAGACCTGTGCTATTTTAGTATTATTTATGTACTATTATATTATTTAAAAATATTTAAAAATATCCTTAATTTGTATATTTTTAAAAAGTAAACTAAAACTACAAAACATTAGTTTTTTTTCTTTCATTTTTATATTAGTGATTTTAGTACATCAACTTATTTCAGTTTCCTCCCAAGGTAAAATTTCTAATTTTCTACTTTATTAAGTTAAATTTTTTCATCTAATTTTTTTTTTTCAGCTTTTTCAATTGCTGAAAATAATTTTGAATAGTTTTAGTTTTATTTGCCAGATACAACGTCCAACATATTACATGGACTGGAAGCACAAGTTTATTTTGATGATTACAGATTTACCCAGTTTATGCTCTGTTTACGGCTGGGATTAAGATGCATTTTTGTCGATCGGATCACAAGTGTACTACACTAAATACAGGTGTAATCACTGTCTAAAATGTTTTAAGCTTGTCCACTTTCAACCACTTCCAGAGGTACTCCAAAACGCACTCAACTAGATTGCTTTCCAGTGTAGACGCTCATGTGGTCGAATGAGTTTAACCAACCACAAAAGACCACCTACTCTCCGCCTACTGACTTAATGCGTAAAAATCATGGGAAGCGCACTAGCAAAATGGTTTTTACATTTTTTTTAGGCTGGAGACCCAAGTTTGGTTTGAAGACAAAAAATGTACCAAGCACAATGTTCTCTCCCCATTCCTGATTTCAAACACACACTTGCTCTTGGATCACGGAGCAGAAACAAAAGCTGATGCTCTCCGTATGTTTTCCCATCCTCAACGGGAGCGTTCATGTAAATAACATGAGCTTATTTCGTCAATAGCCCATACATTTACTCGCCCATCAACCCTCCATTTGAAGAAATCAGGACAGAAGTTGTTGAAAGTGGACAAAAGAGAGGGATTAAAACACCAGGTGTGAATGGGAATGTGTCTCCCTCATTTACTTGTGATCCGATCGATCAAAACACATCTTAATACCAGGTGTAAACGGGCGCTAACCCCTGGAATAATTTGAAATGGCGCTTTTGTGGCTCATCTTTACCTTAAAGCCATCGTTAACCCCTTCCTTCTGTCTTTCAGGAACGGAATCGACCCTTTGACCCGTTCAGCTTGCAAACTTTGGAGAATTCCTTAATGGACATGATTATGACCGACCATGACAAAGGTAAACATCACCCTGCCGCTGGCCCACCAATGACTATCGCTGATATTTTATGGAGGAATCATTTTGCAGGTTAGGACTATTTATACATCCATGCTCATGCTTTTAGCATTTAATGATAAAAAGCGTTTGGTTTATTTTGGTGCATTTTTCTGCCACTATAGCATATGATGAAAGGTTTTATTATGTTGACGATTGCTTTCATAACTGCTGTCTTACCTGTAAAATATGTCAAAAACATTATAAATAACAATTTTACTACTATTCAAAAGTTTGAGGTCAGTAAATGTCTTTTTAGAATAACTTAATTTTTTCAGATTTTAAATTGGTCAGATGTGACATTTAAAGTAAGTTACAATAATTGCCATTTCAAATAAATAGTCTATTTATCAAAAAATGCATCATGGTTTCCATTAAAATATTAAGCAGCACAACTGTTTTCTACATTGATAATGTTCAAAGTTTCTTGAGCAGCAAATCACATATAAGAATGATTTCTGAAGGATCATGTGACACTGAAGACTGGCATAATTGGCTGCTGAAAATTCAGATTGTCATAAAAGAATAAATTACATATTAAAATTAGGGCTGGGTATTGTTAGGTATTTCACAATTCGATTCGATTTCAATTCTTGAGGCTTCGATTCGATTTCGATTCAATATTGATTTATTAGCTTCGATATCGATTCAATAATAAGTAAATACACAAGTAATTAAGTGCCTGAGTATATTTTCAAATAATGTGCACAGTATTACCCCAGCATGTTTGTTTCCTGTCATGGTTTATTCAGCAGAATAAACTGTACAATATTGTATGTGTTGAATACAAACACAACTGTGACAAGCACTGTACAGTGCTTTAACAACACCTCTAAAGTGCATGTAACTAAGTAGTAGAAAAGTATATTTCTTTCTTCCTAAACATTCAAGTTATAAAAGAAATGTAAACAGAAGCACAAAATGTGCATACTCAAAAAAAGTCTAATATTATAATTTTGTAAACAATAACACTTAACAGCTGATCACACTTAACAGGACTATGTGCACGTTAGCATATGCTAGTTCCGGCTGCGAAACCGATATGGGGTGTCTAGTTTCCGGTAGCCTGATGGACGACGTAGAGGATGTATGTTTCTCCAGATGTCTTGAACATTTGCCGAATATTACAGTCGATTATGTTAATTGACTGGCTAATGATTTTCCTCCAGCTCCCCAGAGCAAGAGAGAAGGGGTTTAAATATTACATTTCTCAGTATTTGCATCATTTTGAAGGGAACGTTAAGTCACAACAACATCCATGCTCAGACTGATCTCATGAAATTGCGTATGACACGTATCACGTATTTTTGGCATGCTATCAACACGCATAATCTCTTTTCAGCGTTTTTATGAATACCGTTTACTTAACGTTATTATTGTATGTATATATATATTATACACAGTGTGTATATATATAGCCTATATATATATATATATATATATATATATATATATATATATAGCATATGACCTACCTCAACCCCAACCTACCCGTCACTCCTACCATCCTAGGAAAAAATAAATATCGCTCCCCAGATGTAGATCTACATTTTGTTTTGTTTCGCTCGGACATTTGACGGCGTGTACATACGCGGTACACGTGGAATCACTCGGACATTAATGTTGCCATGCTACCTACGTACTCAAGCTATGCGATTTGGTAACTGTTATATCTCTCTATACATTATAAAATGCGAAATCATGCGTTAGAAAGTGCATTTTCCAGAACAGTTTGTGTTGGCCATTGTTTTGTTTATGATGTTCAGAGGCTATGTTGTTGACAACCACTATCTATAGAATGTCATATAGATCAGTGTTGACAACCACTATACATGTCATACAGGGAGTATCCGACGTTGGTTCGTTCATTATCAAGTTAGGCTGTTTAACACATATTAGGCTGTTCACACATATTTCTAAACAGGTCTCCCTTTCAAAATAGGTTCTAAACCCAGGGGCTTCTCCTGGTTAAAGGATATAATATAATAAATAATTAGTAGCCTAAAAACTTCCTTCTACAGTAGTTGTCATGGATACGCAACGCTCCACTCTGTAAAGCGACTGCTTGTGTGCGGTGACAAAATGTGAAATATCGTTTACTTTTCACAATGCAGCAGCGCCTGGCTCCACCCAAATATGAGTGAAAACTGTGTTGGTTGACTTGACAATGAACAAACGAACATAGTTTTAGACAAATATATTTAGATAGCTAAGCTTTAGATAGCCGGTCCACTGATGTAGGATGTAAACAACGGCAACCGGAACCGAAGTACCCAATATCCGCCCTCAAGGCGGAAGTTAGCATTTTTCTCGTGCACAGAGTCAATTGCGAAAGACTTTCCTTTTCCCTCTCAGAATAATTTCTATCTCACTATTATGACTTTATCATGCATTTCTGACTTTATAACACGAAATTACGACTTTATATCACGCAATTCTTACTTTATATCCTGCAATTGTGACTTTATATCACGCAAATCTGACTTTATATCTCGCAATTCTGACTTGTATCTCGCGAATCTGAGAGATACAGTCAGAATTGCGAGATGTAAACTCCCAATTGTGAGGAAAAAAGTCGCAATTACCTTTTTTATTTTCCATTCTGTGGCGGAAACAAGCTTCCATAGTTCCCGGCTTACAGTGGAATCCAAAATGAGCCCAAATGTCGGCTTTCAATGTTGGTGCAGGCTTGAATCAGGCTTGAACGGAGTGCACTGGCAGCTGCTGTCCGTCATCGCGCTGTTTTGCTAAAGCGCGACTTCTACAACACTGAACGCTCTCACTAGAGTGTAGCCCACAGTGCCGCCACTGGCCTGGATGGCTGAATCGATTAATAGGATTTGATGAATCGATATTGAATTGAGAAGCAAAAAATTGCAATGCATTGATGAATCGATATTTTTACCCAGCCCTAATTAAAATAGAAAACAGTCACTTTAAATTGTTAAAATATTTCACAATATTGCTGTTTTTCCTGTATTTTTGATCTAATGCAACATTGTATTGGCAAACCTTTGAATAGTGGTGTAAGTAATAAAAATATATACTCTTTGCATTCAGATGTTCAAATGTTTGTCACATTAATGTATTTGTATTTGAGGTTTTTCACAACTATTACCATTTTATTGATTCTGCATAGACCATTTGCTGAAGGGAAAGTTTAGTTGTTCTGATCTGTTGTGGGAAATTCTCTCCTAAGTTGTTTTAAGATCACACTAGAGTCTGAGGGGACATCAGGAGAGATGGCTTTCCTCTCGCAGACAATGGAAGCGTGTGATTGTGTTAAAAAGGAGGTGAGGGAAGTTGTTTTTATGTGCTGGAAGCATTGAGGCCCGTTTCAGGTGTGGAGCTGTTTTTCTAGATCTGGCCATTGTAGGATCTGGATTCTTGAGAGATCACTCCTAGAGGTGAGCCGAAGGTAGAGCAGAAAATCCTGACTGACTACCAGACACCCTGGCAAACTGCTCACCTCAAGCAGATGTCAGCAAAGAAGGCTTATACAGAAAGAGAGATGGGAATCGTTTTGTATCACACCCAACTTTCTTGGAACTTCCAAAAGTTCATCTTAAATTTCGAAAGAAACCTTTTCCCATCCTTCATCTGCGCGAGTAGTGACAGCTCCTCATGTGTGTGTTTGGGAAATGTGGTGATGAGTCACTGCAGTTTTGGCATCTTCTTGTCATGTCAGATAAATGGTCCTGTAAAACAGGCTCCTCATTCCAAATCAGTGTGTTGTTTGTCTCTAATATTTAGTTTTCTTAAAGTCGGCCAGAAACATAAATTGCCATCGTATTTTCTTACCTATTGTGATGCATATCTGAGTGATACAGCTTCTCGAATGAAAAAAAATGTTTCACATAGGGCTGGTGATATGGCCAAAAATATGATATCGATATTTATCACGACACAATATTATTTGATCATTAATGGGGAAGGAAATGCTTTCCACTTATTTGTTAGACCTTGAGAATGAATGTAAACATCACAATTAAACACCACAGAGTAGCTACCGTTCAATTTAGAGCCCCATGAAATCTATTTTTATTTTTTTCTAATTTCTGTGTTTTCCATTTTATTTTAGTTTTTGGGATTCTGTGTTTTATGATTTAATACAAATGTATATAAACTTTAACAATTTAATCAAGCTTTTAAAATGTAATCAAATGAAATTACACCAAAAGATTGCATTTTTATTTTTGTTGAATTAGATGTTGCACAACAGAACTGTATAAATAAAAAAAAAATAATAATGTTAGTTGGATGATATCCCTTAGAAATAATAATAATATTATAACGTTACATTTAGTGATATATATCTAAGTTAAACCGAACCTTTATTTTGACGGTTTGTCATGAAGATCTTTCGGTGTGTACTATTTGATAGTTTTCTCAAATGAAATGGTGAAAAGCTTGTGAAGTGACTGATGAAATTTGTGTGTTCGTGTCTTCACTCCTCAAATATTGAGACGGCAGACGCTGAAAACACAGTGAGCGTCACATACGTGTGTTTGTGTGAATGAACGGCACGTTTTCATCTGATACAGACCAGCAGAGATCACGTATTAGCGACATTAAGTGTCTAGCTGTCTAACTGTCTACATTAACTGTGTTGCATTTATTTCTGCTGTTAGATTCATCCATATCGAGTGAAAATGTCCATAATTATCAACATAAATTCTCTCACGATCTAGGCTGCAGCCGAATTGGACGGTTCTGTTGGTTTTGCTATAGGTCTGAGGAGTTTTGTGCCTGTTTAATCCGATTCAAGTCATAGAAAATGTGTTTTGAAATGCAGAACAGAGTAATCTTCATCTGAGCACACATAACCACAGCCTCTCTCTCTTTCTGAGGTCCCAACGTTGACACACACACAATCACAAAGATGCCTTTGTGCAAGCACACATGCACAGATTTCTTTTGGACTTCTCACATGATCTGTCTTGTGTAACTCTGAGCAAAGGTTTGAACCAAATCGGTTGTTTTCCTGCACGTCATAGGTTTTGAGAAATCTTCCAAAGCTTGACTGATACTGG